GGCTCCTGTCGGGTTTTGTCTTGTGGGGGTTCCCTCGCTTTCTTTCGAAGTTCTCAGTAGCCACGATGTCCCGGGCAGAATTTCACATCTGTAGGCTGTGTGAGGACAGGCTGCGCGTCTTCCCTCCAGCTCCCACCAGCTGCTCGCATTTATTGCTCCCCAGCTCTTATAGATGTGTTGAATATTCATTCCTCCTTCATCTCTTCCAAGTCACTTGTGAGTTTATAGGCCCCTCTCCTTTGGACGTTTTTTTTTTTCTTTCTAGCCTCTTCCATTATTTGGTGTTAATAATCTTTAATAATCCCCTTCCTTTGTACATTTTCTGTATCATTTTTGTGTTGGGGGAAGCAGCACTGCACACAGTAGCCCAGATGCTGTGTCATTGATTTATATGGTGGCATAATGAAGTTTTCTCTCCCTTTCCCAATAGATGTCTTTGCCTTTTTGTCTAAGCACTGGCATCTATTAAAACATCATTTGTCTGACGGCCCTCTATAATCTCTCAGTGTCATGAGGCCCTCTTCGCCATTTATCTCTTTGCCACATCAGTACTTGGAGAGCACGGTTCCTGCTGCCTTTTAGTCCTCTCATTTTTACTAGATATTTACCAAGAGGAAACCTTTCCCCTCATCCTGTGGTGCTCAGTGGCTGCAGAAGCCTTTCAAAGCACTGTTCAGAGCACCTGAGCAGGTTGTACCTACTGGATCTCCCTCACCCATTTGCTTGCTGCCACCTTAGAAAAGCTCCTTACAGATTTCCAAGCGTGGGGTTTTTTTCCCAATGTATGTTTGGGGTTTTTTTTAAGTATCTGCCTAATCTTTGTTGCAATTTCTATTGGTTTGCCTGGAACAGGTGTCAAACGTACTGGTCCGTGTTTCCACAGATCTCCACTGGAATAGTCTTAGAACTTGAGATTTGCCACCTTCCTGTTATTTGCTATTAAGGTGGGGTCAGAGAAGTGGCACACTACACGTCTTGATTCGGTTACTGCTGAAGTGAGAGATTCAGCTCATGCCGAAGGGGGTTTTTGAACCCTTGGGTGAATATTTTCAAATCTTGGTTGTTTGTTACTGCTTATTTTGTTGTTCTTCTTATGGACAGTTCAGTTTGAGAGAGATCCTCAGCTCTGTTCTTCATAGTTTGTGATTTCTGCCCTGGTGGCCCCTCACCCCCCAAATTCATCCATGATGAAGAGGGATGCGCAGACTTCTTTGTTTTTCCCCTCTGCTCTGCCCTTGTCTTTCTTGAATGGCCCTTCCATATCTTGGTTTTCAGCTGACCCTGCAGATTCTGTCAGACAAGAACATGTGTTATGGTCTTTCTCATGGATGTTCTTTTATTTCCCTGTTCAGGAGAGTCTGTCCTCCTTGTCAAAAGATCTGGCTGATACATAGCAACACGACTAAGCCCGACAGCAGCAGTGAAAGGGGAGCAAGGAGGCTGTTGCTGGTCTCTTAGCTGAAACCTGTAGCGCAGAACACCCCTGGCTCAACAGGCTGTATTCGTGCGGGTGCTGTGCTGAGGATGAAGTCAGCTTTTGGGGCAGTAACCACAGTTACCAGCATTAAAAGAAATTACTTTGCTCTTCTATCCTGCTCCCAGCACAGTGCGTCAGGGCAGTATTCCCCAGCTTTCGGAGAACTTCCTTAGAGTGTAAAGAGCAAACCCCTCGTTTGAGTGTCCTTGGAAAGCCCCATTTCTCTGTTCTCCTTCTGATTTCTCTACTTTTTTTTTACGGTTTTGGGGTGATGCTTACCTCTGTAATGACAAATCATAATTTAGCAGGGATTTCTTTCAGTGGCGGTGCTGGCTTAAACAGTCTCATGTTCAGCACTGCTTGTTCCCACTGCCCCTTCAGGTGGGTCGTTGCAACTTATGTTGAGCAGTGGAACGTGATGGATCAGAATGAAAAACAACCTAGCAAACCCAGCCAGTTTTCTGGTCCAGCTCTGCCTGTCACTGCGCAGAGCTGCCCTGGCACGGCTGAGGAAATGGGCTGTGGTGAGGTGGAAAACGCTGTAGTGATTCTTTGGGGCAGGATTGCGACGATGCTTTCTGGGTGCCAAGGGCAGAGCTTTCTAGGAAGTCTACAACATTTTTAATTTGTTCTGTTGTGTGCTTTATACTTCCTGGTTGTTTGCCAAAGCACAGGTACTTTTGTGCCTGTTGTATATTTGGCTGTAGCTGGTCCAGCTCGGAGATGTGATCAGCTGTACAGCCCCATCCCCTGCAGGGTCTCTGCCAACACTGGTGCCCCCCAGGTGGGTGGTGCTGGGGGTGGAAAGCAGCTGATCTGCTTAGGTTAATGTGGGCAAATTTATAATTTTGTAATTTTTGTAAGTTGTCTGTAATTAGGAATGTCATCACTGTGTTTAGCTTTTTGCTGGGAAATGATCACAAACAAGCAAATTTGTCTTGCACATTTATTTGCGAGAGAGCATGACTTGTGAAGCATAGTGCATGGTATTTGCGTAGTGAGTATCTACCCTTAGCTGGCATCCACTAGCGTCCCTTGGGACCTAACTTCATTAAAGCTGACAAAAATGCAACATTTTCCATTTGCAAGGAAGCATAATTTTGGAGAGGAGCTGTAAAATACAGATTTGAAACTTAGCATGTGCCAGGTGGTTTAAAAAAAAGTCTCAGCAACATTTACATGTGGATATTCCAGAGTTAAACACTGGTGCCACAGCACATCTGAAAGCTCCCAAGGGCTGGAGCTCATAAGGTACTACAGCTTGGGTGGAGGGTCTCCAGATTTGCAGCTGCTGGTTGGTGCTCAGGCTGCCAGACTCCCAATTAAACCTTATTCCGTGGGTGGTAGGGAATAAGGTTCACATGGGAGGTGGTTTCAGAATTTTCCTTGTAGCAGATGTGAAAACCTTGCTAGCCTGGCTTGAGTGTAGTCTAGTCTTTTAGAGTTTTCTGGCTTTCAGCAGTAGTAGGTGTCATTAAAACCTGCGGCTTTCAAGCCTAAAATAGGTAAAAGAAATCCCATTTTAGGTATAGTGCTTAGGCGCCGTCCTAATGACTGACTGTGAAGGGAGCTTGGACTTCGTAACGCAGGCCCCTCCGTACTGTTGGTGTTCAAAGTGAAATGAGAAATTCTGCTTCTGATGAAGGTTAAAGGCTGAGATGGAGGCACAAAATCCTGCTGCTTACTCACTGTACGAATGGGCTTTGATGATCCTGAAGCTTTCCTGTCCCTAAAATCTATTTATCAAAAAGAACTAAATACAATGTTTAAAACATTACCAAAGCCCTCTTTCTTCTGGTTACCTCAGGCCTTGCCCTGCTGTCAGGGCAGACAATGCTAAGTCAAATACCAGTTGAAAGTGAAAGTTCAGAGGATGAAAGGTGTGTTTGTCCGTAGCCCAAATTAAAAGGCATTTTGTTACAAACTTATGTATAAACATGTACAGAAAAGCGTCTCCTTTCATCTGGTTTGGTGGTGGTACATAAGCCATAGTGTGTCCGCTGCCATTTCTGTCCTCAGCTACCAGCTCTATCCCTTGGAATTTTTTGTCTGCTCTTCCCCGCCTTTAGATTCTGACATCTTCACTGGTTTCCACTTTCTGTTGTTTATGAGGGCTGTGTTCTCCCTTCTGACCATCTTCCATCTTCTTTTTATTGCTTTGGAGAGGGCCATGAAAGGTGTTGCTGATGCCTCTCATTGAAACCTTAAATGAGGCACAAATGGGAACTCAGATCTGAGAGCTTTCTGGAGCCCTCTGGTGCATGTGGGTGCTGTAGTCAAGCAGGATTGATTGGCGCTGGGCTCTAGAAGACTGCCAGCACAGGTCTCTGGTGGCTGAGAGATCCCTGGCCTGGTGTTCACCTTTCTCTATGTCCAGTGCTGCAGTTCAGAGAACAAGGTTTTGCTGTGGAGCATTGCTCTCCTGCCTCCTCTCCCTCAGCGTGCATGGTGTGCTCTGCAGTCCCGCTGTGCCTGAGCTCTCTGGCATCTTGCTTGCTTTCCAGGTGGAACCAGGTGTGCATCCGCTGGGACCTGCCTCTGAAGGACATGAAAATTTCCCTCCCAAAAATGCAATAACAGACCAAGAGAGCAGTCAACAGATAGAGCAGCTGGTGAGTTGTGAACCTGGTTTGGGGTGAAGGAGCGCTGTACTTTTTCTTGGTGATTTCACTCATGCAATCCAGTCAGAGATTTTGGGGACTGAAGTCTTTTTTAGGTGCAGCTGCTCTGCAGAAGTGGGAAGGTTGGGGAATCGGGGGGGGAAAACACCGGCCGTCTGCATGGAGGGTGTTGCTGGGTAGCAGCTCCAGGTATGGGCTGGCGGGGGAGTATGTCACACTAAAACGAGAGGGCACTGTGCCAGTAGGTGCTGTGCTGTGTTTGCTTTAGTTGTATTTGAACTGGGAACAGATATGACTGACCTGGGATGGATCTTGTGTGAGGAACATGTCCCTTGTGAATTATTCCAGCAACCTAGGACAGTTCACAGTGAGGTTTAGCAGTTCTTACCTATCTGAGGAACCCAGAGTGGTAGCGAGTAACTGCAGGTAAAGGTACATACCCAGAGGATGTCTGCTCTCTGTTAGATGTCATTTGGGTTAGACCAGGAGCTGAGATAGCACAGTGAGTGTTTCAAGCTGAATATTTTGCACAGTTCTGTCTGTCCCTCACATCCTGTCCTCCGTACTATTCCATACAAATAGGAGGAGTCTGTGCAAGTGGGAAAGGGAGAACTGTTTCCAGAAGATGAAAGGCTTGGGGGAAGAGAGGAACAGCTGTGTCACTGGAAAATTTTTTGGTTTTACTACCTTATAAAAAAATCTCCCTTGGTTTCTATATTGTTTATGTTTGTCACAAAGAGATTTTCTTAAGAAAATAAAAATAGATAACACAGCATTGGGTCTGAGAAGCTGAGCTTTAATTTCTTACGCATTGTAAGAATGTGGGCTTGCTTATCTACTTACGCTTGTTTCGTGCAGGAATTTGAACTCAAGAAAAAGCGCAAAAAATGTGAAAACCTTGAGCATGAAGTGAGGAAAAAGCATAAAAGATGCAAAGAACTGGTACGTGTTCTTGTTGCCTACTGTTGTGAGCACAGTGGTAGCAGAGGAGCTAGGTTGTTGTATGCCTCTCTTGGATTCTCTTCAGTTTATCTTAATAAGGAATCACTTGTCTTTCTCTTAATTTGAACAGTGTCACAGATGTTGGGCTCCAGACCTTGAGGCTGGAATTGTTTATTTAGTCTTTCAGCAAGCTGTGGGTTGAATATAGCTACATAAATCACTGTCTGAAACTCTGTGGCCTTTGCTAGTTTGAGGAGATACTTAGCATTTTCACATCCACTCCAGACAAGTATCAAAAAATTTCTGCATCTTGAGATGTTAATTACACAAACCCACGGTCATTTTCTCGTACTGCTTATTTGTTGGATGAAATCTTGCCTCTTGTTTAATTTCATGGAGATTTTGCAGATCCTATCACAGCATCAGGATTTCTCCCTTCTGTTTGTACTTTTCTGAGCAGCACTGGTGGTGTTAGTGACTATGACAATGTGTAGTTTCGTGCAAGGGTGCTTACCTTCTGAATGTTTTATGTCTCAAATCTAAGTTCAGGTCAGTTCTAATGCGTAGCTCAGCCTTGTCTGGGTTAGAATGGGATGTTTAAGGAACAAGTTGTTTCAATATCAAGAAGAGGCCAGCTCACCTTGAAGTACTTAGGCTGCATGCACAGGGAGTTATCTCTTGGGATAGCAAGAAAATATTGATGATCTGTAAAAAATTGGGATGGGGAAATGTGTGTGTGTCTATGTGGAGTCATGTGAATATGCAACTGTCAAACTCCTCTAATGCTGTACAGAGCTGCTGCAGATGGACTGGACCTGACAAATTCAGTCAGTGTCTCTCCATATGTCCATGGCCTCCAGCCTGCTCAGAGACCGTGTTCTCTAAGGCAGTGATAGCTGGCTCACGTCGCTTTCTTCACTCTAGGCTGAATCCTGGTTTCAGAGTCAGCCATTTAAAACTCTTCAGTTTGCAGTCTAGAACTCTCTTCAGCATCGTTCTTCCAAATAATTTTTCTTCCTTAACTGAAATTTGTCGAGAAGACTCTGATCTTGAACCAACAGTGAAACCTGATGAATTGTTGTAGGTGTAGGTGGAGTTCTAGACAGCAGTATGTAAATAATGTGAAACTGGAGCTGTGAAGTAGACAAGGAAATGTGTCTCTTTTCTGGCCTTTGAGGCTACGTAAAAGGGAAAAGAAATGTAAGAGATCATCTGGCACAGGGCGCCACCCCCTGCTTGAGCAGTGCCTTCCACCCTTCAAGCAGCATCCCAGCAGCATCCTGCACTGTCAGTCAACAGGACCAGCGGAGCTGCTCTGCAGAATAATTTGGGGGAGTTAGGCTGAGTGCCTTGGTGTGGTAATGCCTGCTCTTTCTGGACAGGAGATCCAGCTGCAGGAGGTACAAAGTGAAAATGCGCGACTGGCCGAAGAGAACTTGCAGCTGAACGAGAAGGCTGGATGGGCAGAACAGGTAAAAAGCAGTTTCTTTGTCAGGTAGAGCATTAGCTTCTGTAAAATTTTGCTGAGAAGAACTTGCTAGCGTGCTAGGTTTTCAAGTTGCCAGTTGAGTAATGGTCGTGCACCCGTCTGTGTACCTCTGTGTCCCGTGTACACCATGGTACCCACAATCAGAGCAGTTAACTACCCTATTTTTATTACAGGGTTTCTCAGGACTTGAGTGAGATGCTTTGTCCTACTTGAGTTCATGTTTGGTTTACCTGTGGTAACTTGTTAATGAGTTCATTACTGAAGACAGACAGTGGTTGGTGGGGAGCAGTGTGCACTGGTCGGAGTGGTAGTAGAGCAGAACCCATCGCTGCAAGTGGTGCAAGCATATGGCGTGTTTGAAAGTCCTCAGTCACCTCTGACCTTTTTTTGTCATCCTCAAAGGGGTTTTTTTGGTGGCTGATGATGCGGCAGGGGAGAAAGCCACCCCTGCAATTCAGAGCTTGCCAGATGGAAAACCCAAAAGCTTCAGGTCTTGAGACAAAGGCAGAATACTTGCATTGTTCAGTTTGCAGAGTGGATTTTGGAGGGGCAGTGGCTGCACCTCAGAGGGTTGTGTTCTAGAACACGTTGTTGCATGTGAGAATGGTGGAACAGTTGGTACTCCAATGAAGATCCTCCGTGGGTGACTGTTCCCAGCTCCTTCTCTGGGCAAATGTAATGCATAAGAGCTAGAAGGTCACTTGTCTGTCCCATACATCAATGTTGCCACCATGCATAAGGCTTCCACATATTTAATGTATTGGTTCTAAGTGAAAATATTTGCCTTTGCTTGATAACCTGCATTACTAGTAGTCATCAAGCCGTAGTGTGCACTGGAACCAAAATACGTTGCTTGAATTCCCCGTAGTAAGTGGAGGAGGTAAACATGATTTCAGCAGGCTGCTAAACTTTCTGTACTGTTCTCTGTGTTTAATCCTACCATCCAGGACTAAAAAAGCTAGTAGACCTTTGTGCTTTTTTTGTATCTCTTCAGTATGTAGCCTGTTCATATCCTAGTCCCTTCCTCCTTGCAAATGGGGAGGGGAGGGGAGTTTAGTGGTAGAAGTGGTACATGCAAATAGAGTGTTCATCACATTGAGGACTCAGACAAATGCTTGTGTATTTGTTTTGAGTGAAAGCCAGAAGGAGAGGAAGTTCATGATTTTGGTATCATTACAAGTAGAAAGCAGGTCTGTAAAACAATCTACTGAGATACAGAAATAAATTGTCCTCCATTATTTATACAAGGAATACCTATGGCTACTTGTGCTAATTGGAAATCCTTTCTCTTCAGGTTGAATCTGAGAATGCTGACCTGAAATTGCAGGTTGTTTTGGTTACTAAGGAACGGGATTCAGTAATTCAGACGAATCAAGGACTCCAAACCAAGCTGGAGAATCTAGAGCAGGTGCTGAAGGTCGGTAGGATCCACGTGGCTGGAAGGATTGTGCGGACATTTGTGCTGCGTCAGCACATGTTGTTTCTTTGGGGTTTTTTTTGTCCATTCTTTTGTCTCTCTGCTTCTGTTGGGAACTCTGCTTCTGCGGGATCCTGGAACATGGCCTTCCAAAGCAGGCAGGGGTGCTGTAGAAAGGCTGCTTCAGGGATTTGGGTGGGAGGGGAAATAAGGTGGCCATCACTGATGTAAGAATTTTCTTTTGACTGTGTTGCTCTGGCCTGTGGTAAGAGTTTCTACTTTCTCCTCTGTTTAATGATGACTGAAATACAGGCCATTATTTGATGTCATGGCCCATGATAGGACGCAGGACAGTATTTCAGTAATGTCGCCCTTTAGCTGTCTGTGAATTGTTCCGCAGCACATGAGAAATGTGGCTGAGCGAAGGCAGCAGCTGGAGGTCGAGCACAAGGAAGCGCTGCTAGTCCTGCAGGAGAAGCAAGAGGAAGTCAGACGGTTGCAGCAGGTATGCAAGCGTGTAGGAGAAGGGACATGTTACTCTCTGAATCCCTGGGAAGTGATGGGAGTCCTGCACCTTGTTTCCTTGGAGGTGCAGTGTATGGAGGAGGTATATATGAGTGTACAGGTTAAAGTAAACCAGGGAAGAGTGTCTGCATCTAGGCGAGCTCTGGTACCTGAGCAAGGTGAAGGGCTTTTCTTGTGAATGGCAGTTCTGATTTCTCACTGCTGTTTGTCCAAAGACCAAAGATGCTTTCAGTCTGTGCAGTGTTTTACATCTGTAATGGTCTGTCAAGGTGGTGATGATAGCAGAAATGAACTTAGGTAGGCTGCTTTCTTATTTACTCCATTTCTTATTTCTTTTTAGGCACAGGCAGAGGCAAAAAGAGAACATGAAGGAGCAGTACAGCTTCTAGAGGTAAGACAGAAGAAAACAAGATAGATTAGTTGCTGCAGATTTGCTATCTTTTGTTCTTAATGTCAGCTTGCTTGATGCTCTGGGTTTTGTTGGTTCTTGAGCAAAATGCTTTAACGTCTTGATGCAACATGTTGCTGCCATGAACAATTATCAGTTGTGCTGGCAGAGCAGTCTCAGGGGTCAAAGTTTCCAGGGATTAAATCCTGGCCTGCTCAGTCTCAGATAGGTTACTTCATTCAGATTGTGCCCTGCAGCTCTTTCAGGGGTGCATTAAGTAACCAGCCTCAGATCTGCCTGCTCTATTTTCCAGGATCATCTGCAGGGAGGAAGAATACTTGCGTCCGTGTGATTTGAAATTTCCTTTGTATGTATGTGCTCTATGCTTTTTACTAGGGGGAAAAAAAGGGAAAATGTGACCTTTGCCTGGGCACAATGAGTGATGAAGTTTGAGGCAGCTCCCTTGTCTCATTTGCTAGGCTGGCCCAGCTGTGTGAGTGCTCTCACATCTGCCCAGAACACACTTTGCCATCGTGGCAGACAGCTTAACGGTGTAGCCTGGCAGATGTGATGAGCACTGTTTTGGTTTTGATTTACATTATGTCAGTGTTTATCAGGATGACTTTGGAGAAAACCTTGGCTGTGGATTCCTGGAGCTGCAAAGGCAAAGTACCAAACCCTGGAACTTGATGTGGTGATTTAGTGGCTGCCAGAGTTGGGTTAGGTGTGGTGGCAAATGGGGCAGCTTTTGCTCTCTCAGTCCACTCAGAAAAGAGCACTAAAACATCTGAGACCAAGAGGAATGCCTCACTGTAGTACACCTGGCCAGTGAGGGCTCATGCTGATGAGTCCATGGCCCTGTCTGTAGTGGTGACATACCGTCAGAGGTGGCAGGCTGAACTGCCTGTGTCTGCTGCTGTGCAGCAGCTCGGTGGCTGTTAGGAGCCCAGGAGGCTTGAGCGAGATGGTAAGTGCCCTTGATGGAGGAGGTTGCTCCATGGCTGCAGATAGCATTCTGTTTGAAGGGGGCCTGACCTGTATCTGAACTGGAGAGCCTGAGAGTGCTGGGCTTCTACTGGGTGGGATTGGAATTGTTGCCGGCTGGGTGAATATTGTGGGAAAGTGACATTATGTATTGCCCCATGTCCGTGTCCTTTCTGGGACATCTGCTGTTGGCTGCAGAGACACGATCAGAGCTGATACGGGTGCTGCTCTTCTGTCAATTGGTATTTAGCTGGCTTCTTAGCAGCCTCTAAGGGGTGCAAGGTTTGATGCTTGCCAAATGTTTTATGAACTAATTAATTGAAGGATTGGAGAAGCTACTTAGGTTTAAACTGGACATCTACCTGTGCAAAGGAAGAAAGGGACAGTCGTTTTGTTCTGTTTGAGAGACTGGTCGTGTTCTTCTGCAGGGGCCTCATCAATTAAATATTGGTGCTTTCATGTTACTGGTACAGAGATGCTTTATAAGTCGATAACACCAGGTGGACCAAAGAAAGAGAAATTGTCATTAAAAGCTAGTTTAATGTGGAGCAACAGTCACTTCAATGACTTAACTATAATCATAGTCATTCCAGAACATCAGTGTAGGGCAAAATCGGGGGTTGGGGTGCCTACACTGCACTTTGTCATTTTTACGTTTGGATTGCTTTTTCCTGTAATATTAATTAAGAATGAGTGTGATCCATTTCCCTGTTGGAAGAGTTCAGTCACATGTTTGTCATAAATGGAGTCTTCCTCCTTGGAGGCGTTCAAAACTCAACTAGACAAAGCTGTCAGCAAGGTGCTGTACCTGACCCTCCTTTGAGCTGAGTTGGACTGGGTGATCTCCAGAGCTGCCTTCCATCCTCAGCTGTTCTGTAGTTCTGTGATAAGGCAGCGATGGGGGTGAGTAGAGGTTTGGGATGGTTTCTGTGTGCAGAGGTGCCATGGACAGAAGGACTGTCTCAGCTGAGAAAGAAAACCTTGAGAGTTATGGGAATTGAAGGAGTGGTTCCAAAGTACATGAGACAAGGTTCTCAACTGCCTTTTGCACTGCATAGATGCAAAAGGCGACAGCCCGATTTCAGGAATCCAGTGTAGAATTTTATTGGGAAATATGGTGAATAGATCTTAACTTTGCTTGTTTTCCCTGACCGAGGAGCAGGGTGCATGACTGAGCAGGCCATTAGCAGCTTGAAATCATGTCAAAGCCAGGTTCTGAGTTGTGCCTTGATTCCCAGCAGTCCTTGGTCTCAGACCTGGGGAAAGGTCTGGACATGAAGTGTCCTTTCTGTTGATTTTATGGGTGGTTGCAATGTGCTGGGAGAAAGAAGGCTTGAAATTTAGCACTGACGCTCAAAGCACATTGTGATTTGGCTCAAAGCATGTTGTGATTTGGATGCCCTCGAAAAGTGCATGGTTACTTTATTCACGCATTTGGTGGTGCATGTGGGATTTGGCTTTTGTTTAGCAAGCAGATGCTTGTGGGAATGAGGTTCCTTGGTATGGAACAAGGCAGACACTGTAAGTCAGTGAGAAAACAATTTCATTGAAACTGAGGGTCGGGTTATCTTTGGTAGATTGTTGATTTTTGGCTAGTGTAACTGCTGATGTGGTTTTAAATCTCTTTGCTTTTCTTATTGCTACCAGAATACTTTGGATTGCATGCAGGTACTGCTATAATCTTGTCAAACAGGACATTTTTCTCCTCTGTCCTGACTTTGACAGTTGCTTGATATTCTTGTTTTAACTATACTCTGGAAAAGATTGCAAGAGTGTCACCTCCAAGAAATAAATGTAATTAAAGGAGCTACCACTATGAGATTGATGGAGCAGCTGCTTTCATGTTTAAATGCTTTGCTTTCTCAACCAATTAGAATTAGAAGCTTTATTTTTTTGGCATTTCCAGATTTTTAGATTTGTCCAGCTGTGCTCCTTCTCCACATGTCACATAGGTTTGAAGGTCTTTTGGGAACTCCTTGCAGTCCAAGAGTGAAGTGTTTCCTTCAAAACTCAAAAGCAATGGCGGTATCGTTGCAAGTGAAAGTGCTGCGGAGAAAAAGACAGATCCTGCTGGTTTTGTAATGGGAAGATGGGAAGCAGAGATTGTGAATAGTTTTCACAGAAGAGGTAGAAACTAATGAAGTTATAGTCTGGGAGCTGTGCGAGCCGGCCTGTTCACAAATTATTTGGGAAGGAGGCTTATATGGAAGTGATGGGGTTTGCAGCTGGTAGAAAACTGCTTTCAGCAGTTGCTGGCTTTCAGATCTGACTGCAAAGAGCTGTGAGAAGATCTCATCAGTAACGGAGAGATTAAATGAGAGGTAACACTGACTGTGCAAAGGCATGCGTGTGGAGGAGAAGCAGTTGTGACTAAACATGCACAGTAGTGGGCTCCGAGTTACCTGTTGTGGCAGGAAATGCAGTGTTTGAGGTAGGGTGGTTTTTAAAATGTCAGCCTGATTCACAGTCTGGCCAAAAAGGCAAGTACGGCGTTGGGAACTTTGAGGAAAGGAATTGAGAGCAGCCCAAGGACATTATTAGTGTATGCCTGTATTCTGTAGAAGTAGCACCTGCATCTACGTGGAGTTATGGATGTTCCTTTAATCCCTTTGGCGTTAGCCCTGCTTTGAGCAGGAATTTGGACTGCAGACCTGTAGAGTTCCCTTCTAGCAAAACTGTGATTCTCTGATCTCAAAAACATATAGCAGAAGACACAGAGAAAGGTAACAAGGACATCTGGATGGGGAGCATCATCTGTAGGAGAAGTGTAGTAGAGCAGCCAAGAAGGAGAGTGTCCAAGAGGACAAGGCTGAGCTGGTGGTGGTTGGATCTAGCTTTGTGTGGAAAAATCAGGCTAAGTTCCTGAGTTGGTGGTTAAACTGACCCCAGCAAGCTCTGCTTCCTGCTCTTGCCTCTTCTGGTAATTATGCTACTCAATCTCAGTTGGTGTGAGGCTCCTCTTTCTCCCCTTTCTGGTTCGACACAGGCACAAAAGTCTCCTGCCTCTTCAGGCTTGATTCTCGCTTTGGTTCCCTGACGCTCCTGGCCGTGTCCTTAGGCTCCTCTTCCTTATCCCCTTGCCTCCCTGCACTGCCCTGGGAACTTGCTGCTTGCCCAGCTGTCTCTGAACCTCTGCAAGTAGTCTGCTAGATGTACGTGTTGCGTATGATGTGGCAGTAACGCTTAAGGGATGTTTGTGTGTTGTTCTGAATAACATAGGATCTAAAAGACACTTGACTAATTAGGTATCTCAGAATTAAACTGTGGATTATCCAGGCTATTGGCTTGGCCACTGGTATAAATGGATTTAAGTGGTGATTAATAAATTTACAGAACCAAGGTACTATTATGATATTGAACACAACATCCAGATGCAACTGCTGGCTCAGGTCTCCAGAGGAGACTAGAAAATCCTCTCTGGTCCTGCATTTGTTCTGTACCTGGCTGTTGTAGGCTGCATCCAAAGGTGGGATCAGGGACAGATGTTGGTCTAGAGGAAGCCCTGCTTTGATCCCGTTCTTACTGTTCACAGTTTCTTTCCTCTGTTAAGATGTACTGTGTAGGGGAGAAGCATTTATGTGAAAAATCTTAACTGTAAGTAAATTCAAACACTCATGATTGCAGAGAAATCCCGTACAATGTGACTTGGTGAACAAGGAGTTGACGATGAGCAAGTGGAGAATGCAGATGCTTCTGGAAGTTGCTCATGGCATCTGACATTCTCTTTCAGTTCAGAGACAGTTGCTTCTTGCCAGACTTCAGAGGCTTCACCAGGCTTCCCTTCAAGACTGAGAGCGCCCAGCTAGTGGTGAAAGAAACAAATGATAAACTGACATGTTTAAAACAGATACCTCACAAGAAAATAAAAATGCACGCACCCTCTGAAGCTGGTAGGGAGTGGGCTAGAAAGATTTTGTGGTACTCTGAGACCAGAAAGAAAGCTTTTTCTGGGTCAGATGCGTTATTTTTAGAGCTGCCTAAAACCCAGACTTTCTGTCTCGTGTAATATTTCAAGGCATGGTGTATTTTTTGAGTTGGAAGGAGAAAAAGACACTTCAAAAACATTTTGTATAATGGAACATTTTGAAGACCATAATGCAGTCATTTGTTTTCATGCATCTTGCGCAAAATGATGAGGTGAGTGACTACAAAGCCTGGTGTGATCCCAGTCCAAAGTGAAAAAAAGGGAACAAATGTAATCTCTTGCAAGGCAGAGCCTGCACCTCAGCCAGACACACTAATGCCAAATTAAATATTGTCTGCATTAACTCAGCTGAAGAACTGCTGATTAGATAATATCTTCCCATCCAGCACTAGTGCTTTTTGTTTGCTTATTACCTGAAGTGCACGAGCAGGGTCTACACAGGATATCCTAGCTAGGAAGCCAGAGGCACGGTGGAAGAGTGAGAAAGAGGGAAAGGAGCAGTAGCATTCTCCTGGGAATTGATATGCCTACAGCTAGGGAGTATGGGTATGTGTAAGGACAGCCAGGGCTCAGCAGTGTGTTGGAAGGGGAAGATCTAGACGTGATAGAAAAAGAATACTAGCAAATACAAATGGTTCTCTAGTAGCAATGTGTCCTTCCATCTCCATAGTATTTCCCCAAGGCTGGGGAGTTCAGTTGCTGAGATGTAGCTTTCTTGTACTTGGCATGCATTTTTCTGGAGCAAGTCATTTCTGTAGGACCTGGTGGCATAGTGTGTGGACTGTCCGCATCAAAGAGATGTTCTGCAACACAGGCCAGAGTGCTTATGCTCTCTGCCCTTCCTAGTGCTTAAAGGAGCCAAGATCTGGAGGGACAATTGGAGTCCTGCCCAGAATGGTGGGGAGGCCAGGGTAAGGTTTTGGGAGCTTGCTGGAGCCTCTGGAGTGATGGACGAGATAGAGCATTGGGAGAGCAGTTCCTTTTGGAGACATGATTTTAATGCTCTAATAAATACACAAAGCCTTTTCAATGTTTTTCAAGGCTTATTTGTCTTTGACTTATCTCATCTGGTCTTGTGCAGGGCTTGGATAGGATACTGAAGTTCAAACCCAGCATTTCAGGGATAATTCCTGATTGAGCTTGCAGTCAGTCTCCTCACAGATGATGAGTGATGGTGTGGAGCTGCTGGTTCCTAATGACCATTCCTGGGCAGGGCACACCTTTAGGTTCTTGGAGTCTGAGACCCGCTGAAAAGGTGCAATAAAGGCAAATGCTCTTTGGAGCCTCACTAATGGTTTTGATATGCGTTTGTGCCTCACCTTGTGTCTCTCCTGTCAGGCCCGTGTGAAAGATCTAGAAGACCAGTGTCGCAGTCAAACAGAGCAGTTCAGCCTCCTGTCTCAGGAACTCAAACAATTCCGACTTCAAACAGGAAAAATCGACCTTCTCACCTCTACGCTGGTGACTTCTGAGCTTCCTCTTGCTCTTTGCAGCTCTACCCCACAGCCCCACTGGGAGAAGGGTAATTGCTGGAGATGCCTACAAGTGTTGGTATTTGTGTAAATGGAAAGGTGTAAAGGAAAGAATGCAAAAGTTTAGTCAACTTTGGGGATCTCTGTCTCTATCTCTCTTGTAAATACCTTTGGTTCGTTTTGTAGTCATAAAGAGAACTTGGCGGTGACCAAAGAGAGCCCAGGATGTCCAGTCTGTTGCGCTGTTAAATGAGTCACATTTTTAGAGGCTTGAGCTGCTCCAGAGGGTATTTGCTCATTGTGATGCTAGCAGCTGATCTTGTGTTCTGCCTGTGGCTAAAAGTAATGGACAGATCCTTTAATTGCAGAATCGACTGGTCCTGGATTGCTCACTCACCAGAGCACAAAGAAGGTTCACAATGAAGAGACTGATGGGTTGGAGTTGTCACAGCGGGTGCCTGATGCCACTGTTGGCTCCCCAGTCACTGCTACCAGTTCTCAGAAACAAGCCAAGAAAGTGGAATCTCAGTCAAACTCTTCAAAATCAGAATCCATGCAGAACAGTCCAAAATCCTGCCCAACTCCAGAGGTCAGTATGGGAGTCCCCTCTGCGGCCTGTGCTTTCCAGCCACAAGGGAATAAATGTGTTGCTGAGAGCACTGATAACGTTGCATTCATTTCCTCCTGGCTGCCTGAAGAAAATGGGGGAAAACCAAGAGAAAAGCTGTAGGAGAAAATTGAAAAGGCCTTGGATGCCTTTGTCTGTAATTCTCATTTGAACATATTGCTGTGCTCCAGGAAGGAAACAACTGGCTAGACAGTGTGCTGGGAGCTTGGAGAAGGAGTGGGGTGGGGAGGTTGATAGGTGGGAAGTGTGGGAAAGCTCCTGCTAAGCTTCCTTGTGGCATCTCAGATACTATTAAAACACACAAAGCTTACAAACTGTTATTTTTAATGTGCTGAGGAACCGTGTTCAGACTATTTTTGGCCTTGAGCTGTGGATGAGGGGCTTAAACTTCTTTGCTGGTGCTTTTAGGCATTAAAATTGTACTTCGTGAAAGAAACTGTGAAAAGATGCTGAGTTTGTGCTAGCCTTTGCTTGTTTGTGTCACCAAGATCTTACAGACAGTTGTTGCTTCTCCTCCCCAGGAGCTCTTATTGTAGGGTTGACTTAAGCAGTCTTGCATACTGTCTGCTGTATGTCACTTGATGTGACAACTTAGGGTAAAGTAGTGCTGTGAGTGGGGCTGGGTGAGATGGCATAGGAGGCAGCTTTTGCTCCACTGATGTTTCCTGAGTGCTAAAACCTTCAAGGCCACATGGAGTGCATTGTTGTACATGTGGAGGACACAGAAGTCTTGAGCTACAAAGGCTGGGGCACTAATGAAGGGATGCTGCTGTGGCAGGCAGTGTCCACCACTGCATAAGAGCTCTGAGAGCTATCGTGGTCAGCGGCAAAGTCAAGGTCACACCTGGGGAGGAACAGGTATGTGACAACTATCAATTCTGTAGTGGGAAAAATTACTATTTTTTAGTTCAAGAGAAAGTTTGGAAGCCACCATGCATCTGTGGAGAGATAAGGCCAGTGTGGGATCCTTGGAGAAAAGCCATTTGGCTTCAGCAACACATGGCTATGGGAGCACTCCAGAGTGTTAGCCAAGCTGCTAAAAGCTACTCCATTTGGGTCTACCTTTGGGTGTTACAGGGTGCAGGTGTTTGTTACCCCAGGACAGCAAGATTGCATTATGAGGAATGCACTACCTTGGAAAAGATGCTCTGAATTCTGTCAAATATTAACTTCAGCAGACAAAACACCTACTTTTGTATTCTGGTGCCTGTGATGGGTCTTCATCAATAATACATTTGCCTTGAGGTCTGCTTTAAAAAGGCAGCTTGAATTGGTTCATTGGCATCATTTCATACAAACACAAGGGAAGTGCAGTTCCTCAAGAAGTATGACTGTGTTACATAGCTCATTCATAGAATCATAGAATCATTTGGTTGGAAAAGACCTTTAAGGTCATTGAGCCCAACTGTACCTGTCTACCACTAAACCCTGACCCTAAGCACCTCATCCACCCGTCTTTTAAATAGCCCCAGGGATGGGGACTCGACCCCTTCCCTGGGCAGCCCCTTCCAGTGCCTGATAACCCTTTCAGTGAAGTTTTTCCTAATACCTAATCTAAACCTCCCCTGGTGCATCCATTGCCACTGGATGTAAAATTCAAAAATGTCAACGGGATCAAAAAGAGCAAGACAAATTTGTCAAAGGTGCTCCTGCCAGTAGCCCCCAAATGCATTCAGGGTGCAGCCTCCAGCTTAGGAAGACTGTAAGTAGCTGATTGCTAGAAACTGAGAGGCTGTACCAAGAAAAGGAGAATTTCATGCTTGCCCTGTCTCTTGTACGCTTTCCTTCAGCCTATGCTACTGCCTGTTACTGCAGCCAGCTGTTTGGACTAGACAGAGCTTTGGTTGGAACTGGTAGGGCCTTCTGATGTTGTGCAAGTACAAAAATATTATATTGAAGTATTTACAGGTGCCGGAGGGAAACTGCCTGAACAAAAGTGCTTAGAGACTTAGACATCTAACAGAGCTGTAAGGTCTCCTTTGTTCAGATTGCCGTTAGTGTTGCACACAGGGACAGCTACCATTTAGAAGTAGCAAGAAATGAATATACTGGATTCTGGATATGTGGGGTGGAAGGGCCCTCCAGAGTCTTTAGTCCCATCTCTTACTCAAGTGGGACTGTCACCAACACTAGATCCGGGTGGCCATGACTGCCTAGCTGAGGCTCTTAAGTTCTTCAGGAATGGAGATCCCCCACCTCAGTGGGAACCTGTCCCACGGTTGCATCACCCACCTGGGCAAGGAGTTTTTCCTAATGTTTGACTGGAACCCCTGAAGCTACAACTTGGAGCTGTTCCCTCTCGTTAGTAATTCTTCACCTTAAAAGTCATTCTTCCAGGTGGTTCTTAGCCCAGTGGCCAGACTGGCACCATACATGAGCTTAGAGGACTTGTTCACTCATGTTCAACCCTTTGAGTGTTCCTTTACTCTGATTTGGGCCGTATCATATCCTTCATCTTTAATGTTTTTAGGTGGACACTGCAAGTGAAATGGAAGAACTGGATGTTGACAGTATCTCTCTAATGCCAGAGCCCGGCAGCCAAGGCCCTGCAAAGCTCCAGGTGTTCTTAGCTCGATACAGGTACTGGGTCATTTCTTGTGGTCTGTGAGGTTAGACAGGTTATCTCATGGTTGCCCACTCTACCCTGTTCTCTAGCATTAACCACTGTTTGGGATGGGTTAGACCATCTATCTTATTCCTCCATGTGATTTTTTGTGACCTGTTATTCCCTGTACAAGCAAATCCAATGCGCTTGGCTTAACAAAAAGAAGGAAGCTCACTTGTTCAGTGAACAGCTCTGTGTGAAACTTTTTTTTAAAATTTGATATTGGCTGGAAAATTGAGTTTGAATTGACACATTCCTTGAAATGTCTGATTTTGCCAGAGTAGTCCAAGAAATTTTCTCCAAGAAAATCTTATTCCAACAATTAAGAAAATTTCAGCCTGGAAATCCTGAAGTTTTTGACCAAAATCATTCTTGTTGTAATTAAAAAAAAAAAAGCAAAGAATAAACTCAGGTTTTTCTGGTAACTGTTGCAATCCACTAAGAATAGCCACTAGCTATTAACAGTTCAAAAAGTATTGGCATACCCTTCATCTTTTAGACTGTGGTTTGGGAGGAAGGGAGCTGGGATGATTCTGTGCTTGTGAGGAGCAGACCAAATGCGATCTGTGTCTTTGTGTCAGGGTCCTGGGCCCACAGGGTCTCTCTCAGCTCATGGAGGGGATAACATCGCTTTGGCATGTTGAAATCCTTTTTAAAGACTAAAGAGCAGGAATTAGCAGTAGGTGCTTGCAAAGATAAAGGTTTTTTTATGAGGCGTTTTCCTGTGATAGGCCCTCTGATTAGCTCAAGGATCCCTGGGTAAGACATGCTAGAACTACCTGGAGTCCAAATCCTATCACCAACGTATTTATCATTTTCATGCTAGTGGAGCTTCTGGACTGCTGTGTAAAATGTGGAGTTACAGCACTGAGAGCTGTGTAACTTGGATCCTGAGGATTGGATAATTATGAAGAAAAAGGCTAGAAACCTTTTCTTTACTCATGTAACTTTCTTCTTGCACAAATCAGCTCGTTCTTAGGGTTTTAAACATGAGAATTTTGAGATTCTGTGCTGTGCTTGTCCGTGACAGTCATATGGCTGATAAAGTGACCTTAAATGTTTGGGGCATTTTTGATGCTTTGAAGGTTTTTTGTTGTGTTTCTGTTTTGTTTTGTTTTTTTTCAAAGCTATGAAGTACATGAAATGTAGAGAGCTGTCTCTATATAGAATAATTAGGAGTGCAGGTGAATGTAAGGGTGTCTGTTTTAGAAATGCAAAGTCCTACAACTGTTATCTGCTTGGTGCACTCAGAAACACAGCAGGCCCTCAGGTAATTCAACTCTTTTTTTAAACCCTTTCTGAGTCACTCTGATCTGTTCTTTCAGACGTCACAAGACATCTGTTATGCTGCTCATAAAATTATTCCTAGCTGCTATTTGAACACGGAGCAGTATGTTATTAGTTATATATAAACCCATAAACTTAGAGTCTGGACTGCTGTTTGTGGAATTTGCGGCTTGCAAAAAGCGGATGCAGTCCCAGAATTGTAACATCAGAGCTTGAATGTGTTGCCGTGAAAGTTCCTATACAAAGTAAGTCTTCATATTGTAAATATTTCAGCTACAATCCTTTTGATGGACCTAATGAAAATCCAGAGGCAGAGCTTCCACTGACTGCAGGAGAATATATTTACATCTATGGAGACATGGATGAAGATGGCTTCTTTGAAGGTGTGTTTTAGTAGAATGAAATGTGACCAAACTGCTGTGGAGAGTTGATCTCTCTCTCTCAAAAAACCCGCCAACCCAAAAAAGGAATTTAGTGAATCTTGAAACCTCAAGATAAAAGTTTTCTGCCTTAGTTTGTTAGAGGGAGGAGCAGATTTTGTTGGAAAAGGGTTTATTTATATGATGATTATATTAAGTCTAAAACATGAAATCCTGGTCTAGTGATTTCAGTGAGAATTTTGCCACTGCTTTCAGCAGAGCTCCAGGTTTCATCCCCATATGGTTCCTCCCTAGCTATGGAGAGCAACGTGTTCAGCCCTGGGCACCTTCTGCAGATGGGCTGTTTCCCTCTTCCCACTGACTGCGTCAGGGCAGGGTGTGAGATAAGCAGTCCAAACTACAGTTGTTATCCTGTTTGATGTCATACAGCGTGTTTCTCTTTCGGCGCCTTTGAAAACACTGTCCTGGTTGACTAGTATTGAAACAGAGAATTGTGGACTGTAAATTTGTAATGAAGTTTCTTTGTGGAGCTGGCTTATTTGATGGGATGAAGGATCCTAATGTACTGAGGTGCTTTGCAAGAGCTGAGGCAAATGCATGCCATGTTGCACTGCTTGCTCTGACTGTCCTGGCTCGCTCTTTCTTTCTATTTCTGAGCTTTTCATGTATTTGTTTGTTTGTTTGTTTATTGTTTAAAGAATAAAAAGGTTATTCTTTACTAACGTTTTCTGCTTTCCCTGCTTTCAATTGATTTGCTGTAGGTAGAGTTTGAAAGGGGAAAGTAAGTGCAATCCCTACAGACTACTTGTTTGACTGTGAGTTGATGGCTTTTGCACGTACCGAGCGTGCTGTGGTATCAGTTGTCCCCATGGGTCCTTTCGGGACATCTTTATTACAGAAGCTAGCATAAAAAGAAGGCCAGAACTGCATACAGAGCTGGGAAGATGGACTTTCTTGAGGAAGTACTACAAAACCCAAATCTGTATGGCTGGGAGAAGACGTAAAATCATCAATCTGCATAGCTTGGGAAGGCTAGAGAAAGACACTTAAGTTAGTGAAAGGGCTATGATGAGGAACAACAGGAAAGAAGGAAAAACCCTTAAGCTAATTAGACAAAACAACTTTCTAGTTAGTTGGTTCTGGAATGTGTGGAGCAGTGAGTGTTCTCACTGTGGCCATTAGGATCTGACTCGGGAAGCTCTAGGAGATGCAGAAAACTTTGCCAGGAATAACCTCCCAGAGGATTTTTTTATTCCTGACTGCAGTGCAGTTTAACGTAGCTTAGGTGTTGTCACGTTATCTCCACAGATGGGTTGGAAGGCTGAAAGGTAGGTGCAGTGGTAACAGGTTTCCTGTTTTTTGTTTAGGGGAGCTGATGGATGGTCGGCGAGGGCTGGTCCCCTCCAATTTTGTTGAGCGAGTTTCAGATGATGACCTCATGACGTTTCTGCCTTCGGAGCTGAATGATCTCACCCATAGTTCATACCAGGAGAAAAGTTTTGTCAGTGCAAGCACCAGCAGTGGAGATAAGAGTGATTTCTCCATTGAAGAGAGTAGCATCAGTCCGTTGGCCAGTAGAGCAGAAGGAGACCAGGAGGAACCTGTTAGTCATACAGCAGTGCCTTACCCAAGAAAATTGACTTTGATCAAGCAGCTTGCCAGAAGCATAGTTGTAGGCTGGGAACCACCACTTTTGCCAGCTGGCTGCCCAGACATACAAAGCTACAACATCTATGTGGATGAAGAGCTACGTCAAAATGTGAAGAGTGGCTTCCAGACCAAAGCAGTGATTGAAAAGCTGGATTTAAAGACAAAGGCCTACCGTGTGTCTGTGCAGACTGTGACAGAGCAAGGCAGTTCTGATAAGCTGCGATGCACTTTCTTTGTGGGGCAAGATTTGTGTGTGGCACCAACTATGCTGAAAGTCCGAAGTGTCACTGCCACGTCAGCAGAGGTCACGTGGCTTCCCTGCAACAGCAATTACAACCACGCGGTGTATCTCAATGGGGAGGAATGTGACATAACAAAACCTGGGGTCTACTGGTACACCTTCCGCAACCTGCAGCCGAGCACTCAGTATGTTGCCAAGCTGGAGGCACGGCCCCTGAAAACACCTTGGGAAGAGGCCCCAGAGGGGCAGGAGCAGGATTCAGCTGTGATACACTTCACTACCCCGCTAGCAGGTATCAGAGCAGTCATGCCCATTGCCACTGTGCATGGAGTGCTTGGAGCAGTGCGCTCAGTCATTACTTTGCTACGAAGCCTTGGGGCAAAGGGAAGCAAGGTTTGTTAGGTCCCAAAGCCTGAGACGCTGTACTGTTTTGTCTTAATGTTTTCCTTCCTTTATTTTAAAAATTTATTATCTCTTTTGTTTTCATTTGCTCTGGGAAGACATCCCCTGTGCTGATTTGAGCAGCATGCCTCTCAGGGCATGGAGGATCTGGTTTGCCATGACCTTGCTCTAAGGGTTGCTGCATCTTGGCCTCAGCTACTTTTGCAAAGTCCTATTTTCTGTGCATTTTAATGCATTTCACAGAACAAGAGCACCTTATTTTCTCTGGTTCTGTCTATCATTTCCCAGGACTAGCCTGGCTATTCCGGTATGGCTCCACAGTGCCAAGTCTGGTGTGGGAGTTTTCTCTTTGATTCTGACCAGGGCTTAGTTTAGCTTTGTGCTGTAGTCAGGTAAGCAAGAGGAAAATCTGTTTGGTCTCTCGCAGGCACACCTGATGCTCCTTTGGATGTCCAGGTAGAAGCTGGTCCCTCACCAGGTATCCTCGTTATCAGCTGGTTACCGGTCACCATTGATGCCGAAGGATCTTCCAATGGAGTTCGAGTCACCGGTTATGCTGTGTATGCGGATGGACAGAAGGTATTGTGCTGACGCTGTGCAAGGCTGACGTTTGAGGAGGTGGGTGGAGCCTGGTATGGGGTAGCAGGCAGCTGCAGAGCCTCCAGACCTGGAAAGCTTGATCCAGTAAGCATGGCATGAGGAGGCAATGACAGTCCGTGACCTAGAAAGAAATGGTATCAGAGAAGGGACAGTGCTTGGGCTGTTTGTTTTGACTGATGCACACCAAAAAAGATATCTGTCCAGATTTTTGATGTGTTTTTGATATAACTGAGCCAGGAAAGTTCCTGTGGCAGGACCCTTCACTAGCAAAACAGGACAATTTGTGTCAGCCTCCTCTGTCTCTAGGCGGTAGCTTGATCCTTGGGGAAGCAACGAGCTCAATGAGCAATGAGTCCCCAGCGCATGGACAGAGTACAAGTACACAACCTTGCCACTGCATGGGGCTTGTCTCTGGACTGTGAGGAGTGAAGTGTAGTTCTCCAGCCCTTTCTTAAATTAGAGACAGCTGAAGGGGAGGTGTACAAACACCCCAGGGTCCAGTACGAACACTGGTGAAAAACCTCCAAGGATATTCTGTATGGAAAGTGGCCTGTGGTCTTCTGCACACGTGATGTTTTGCCATTGGCCATGGGAGAGACAAGCCACAGCTGTTTAATGGAGCACAGTGCAAAACAGAGTGGTGCTATGTTGGGTGATTGCTCTTTTATCATGGAAATGCTTGTTCCTCTACACAGGTCAAAAAAGGAGAAGTCTGGGAAGGTAGGCAACAGGGAGGCCAAAAAAAAAAGATAGCCCTTTAAAACATAGGGAACAAGGAGAGTTAAAACCTGGAGAAGGAGGGGATATAGTAATATTTTATAGAATGTAAAATTTCTCAAATGGTTACGGTAACAATTTCTCTTTACTGTTTATTATTCCCTGATATTGTGCAGAAGGGTGAGAATTCTGCACACCTGCTCTCAAGAGTTTTGGGGTCTGTCATTAACTTTGGGTTCAGGGATTGTTGTTCTCGGAAGGCCTGAGCTGTGCACAATAAATAATTGCTACCTGTTTTTTTTTGCTTGCAGGCAATAGAAGTTACTTCTCCAACAGCTGGGAGTGTCCTGGTGGACTTATCCCAGCTTCAGATGTTCCAGGTGTGCCGGGAGGTTTCTGTGAGAACGATGTCTCTGTACGGGGAGTCGGTGGATTCAGTTTTTTCAGATTCTGCTGTTTCTACCACTTTTACCTCTAGACTGCCCCGTGGAGAGCCCAAGGTCTCTCTGCCTGCACGCAGCCCACCCATGCACCAGATGGCTGCACTCTTGCTTCGACAAAAAGTTCCCACTGATAGCTCAGATGCCAAATTGACTGATCTCTCCTTCAGCCACAACAGCTCAGCACAATCTCTGCCAGAGAAAGCCTCTTCACCGCTGCACCTCTCCTCCCCCAGTGCTTCCTTGGTGCAGGTTTTAGGCGCTTCCTCAGAGGGATCGGACACTGCACAGGACAAGAAATGCCTGACTGTGCCTCCTCAGCAAGCTGGCAGCACAGTGCTCCCTGGTGAGGGCGCGGAGCCTGTCCCTTCAAGGGAAGCAGAATTTCAAGGCAAAGGGATGGAGGTGCAGGTAAGTGCTTACGTCTCCTGCCCAGTGCCACGTGTGCTGGGAAGGAGAATGGATCATTTTGGGGAATGGAATGAAATGCCACTGAGCATCTTTTTCTTTCTGTGATGCACCATTGCCTTTGGGCCACCATCCAGTGGTGGCAAACTGGCAGGGAGTATTGGCTGCTCTTTTGTACCTGGAGGAGCAGATGAAGCTCACCACTTGATTGAATGTGTGCAGGCAGATCAGGAATAGAGTCAGGAAAGTGAGAATTTATCAGAGAGAGAAGGTGAAAAGGATGTTCATGCTGCTGATGATATCAGTGTTAGTCTGGCATTGCTGTGCTCTCTGACTTGAAGGGGTCTTCTCCAGTCTAGTGGGTTTGTGCAAGGCAGAGTGGGCACTCTGGCATGGTGGAGCACCTCACTGGACTGCACAGCAAGGCAGCTGTGTCTGAAGAAGAACTGGCAAGCTGTCATGACATTGGGTGTTTGGAATCCTGTAGGGGGGGTGAGTGCTTTCAGGGCTCTTCTAGGACAGTGGTGAGGATGTCTGAGAGCCCCATAAGAAAACAGGTAAATGATCTATAAGGTGCTTGCTCTGTGACAAGAGGGAAGTGGGTCCCGTTGGTGTGTGATGTATTATATCAGGAAAAAGGATCTTGTTCCCCATTCTGGCCTTTGACATCGGAGACTCGGGGAGTGCTTCAAACTGTTAAATTCAGCATGACTTTATTAATCATGGCAGTGTGAGCTTGGAGTTAGACAAAAGCGGGGAAGATTTCTGGTAATTGCTGGAGTATCAGCAGCTGTGTGGGCCCAAGACCTAAGGCCAGGTAAATACACAGAATTGAGATGTTGAGTCCAAAATGTCAATTGTCATTCTTCAACCCCTGGTCATTTGCTGCTCACAGTACCTCAGGTCAATTGTTGCAATTCATTTGCCCACATTTAGATGTCATGTAGAAGGGTACACATGGGTGGGTTGCTTTGCCTCCTTTGTAGTTGGTGGAGCAAAGTGGGTGCTTCCAGGATGCAACTCATCCTTCTTGCTCGAGATGTGTGTCTTCGCTTGGCTGTCAACACAAAGAAACAGGGCAGAAGGATCCTAGCTATCAGATTAGGCATGAGATCTGGACCTGTCTGGCTTTTGCCCAAGCCCAGGGGACATTGAGAAACTAGGCGCTGTGGTGTCCAAATCTCCCTAGGGGTCTGACCCTGTTAGTATTTTAAAAGTGTGCCTAGGTTGTGCTCCATTGCATAGTACAGTGGAGGCTGCCATATTTTAGAGTGAGGGTTAAAGAAGAAGGTGGTCGATGAAGGCCTTACCCTCCTCGTTTCGGGGGTTCCACTCCTCCATCTCCCAGAGGTTTTCTTAAACACCAGACTGAACTGCCTGGAAAACAGTCAAAAATTTTAAATTTCTGTAATCCAACTAGGTGACCTAACCAGGACTCTGCAGTGTGTGTTCTTCATTAGCTCCCCTTTTCTTCACAGCCCTTACCAGCTCCAAGAAGCGCTCACCCCCAGCTCAAGCTAACCTGCATGCTGGTGTGCAGGACATTCCTCTGGCAGATGAGAGTGGGAAATTACTTTGTTGTGTAGCTTGGGCTCCTCTTCATGCTGCTCTAAAACTAGTTATTGTCAATCCCCTTCTGTGGCTTACATGAGCCATGTGTGGTGGCCCAAGCTGCAACAGTGGAAAGACCGTGTGCCTGCTTGCAGCTAATGGCAGGGAAGGGTTTGTTCCAGGGCTGGCCAACCTTCCCAGCTGCAAATTGCATGCCAAAATATTCATATGCCAGCAGTGCAGAGTGTGTAGTGTTTGTGTTGGAGAGTTTGGGGTGGTAAGGCCTCCTTTTGGTGTACAAGTATTGTGTGATGTCTCCCCCAGGTTTCGTTGTTTGTGATGATCTTTTTTTGGTTTGTTTCCCAGGTGGAGCAATCCGTAACTAAAGCACCAGAGCTGGAAAGCCTGTCTGACAGTAGTCTGAAGATACATATGGAGACCTGCCATGCATGCTCCATGGAAGAATCACCAAAAGGTCCCAGTGCTGAAAGAGAGAAAGAGGCAAAGGAGAAGCACTTGAGCCCAGAGCCTCTGCTCTCCCCCAGCCAGGCTGAGGGGACAGAGGGCACCTTCCAAGACACAAGCGTGGGTGGGAGCAGCTGCCAGGAGTTCCCAAGGTTGTCCCCTGGCAAGGAGGTGATGAAAGAAATGTCCAGAGTGAAGAGAGAGGTTTGTTCAACCTTGGTTGAGTGTCTCTGCCCATGCAGGGATGTGAGGAGTATTTGACACCCCTAGATTTTACAATGCTAGGTAGTACTGTTCTTCTGTAGGCTGTAAAATGTGTCTCCTGGTTCTATGTGTCTGTGTGTGTGTACACACATGCCAGTTGCTGCGTTGGGTGCTGCCCAATTATTTCCTGCCATCCTTTAGCTGTATGTGTGCTACAGAAGGGTAAAATGCTTCTTTACTGCTGAATTAGAGTGCTTGAGAGGACTGAGGAATTCTGTTTCTCTTTTCAATAGCAAGAAGAAAAAATGTCTGAAATGGGAAGACGACAGCTGACCCTTTTTGCTGAGCACAACCGTAGTTCTGACCTTTCAGATATTTTGGAAGAGGAAGAAGAAGATGAGCTGTCTTCAGAAGCTCTGGAAGAGAAGAAATGGGACCAGAGAGAGCAGTGTTACCGGGAGAATGGGGAGAAGGTAACTTGTAGCAGAATATTGCTCGCAGGGAGCGCCAGTGCAGCCATTCCATGTCATCAGCTCACACAAGGAGGTGCTGGTCAGAGTCCTGTGCTCGCAACAGTGTTTGGCTAAGCTCCTGCCTGCTCTGCTTTGACACCCAGTGTTGTCTTAAGCTAGTAAAAATGCAAGTTCTTTGTAAGAGGGAAGGGTGTTTATATGTAATGAATGTACCCAGGGTTTAATTAGTTGGAAAAACACACAATGTAATGTGAACTTCAGAACCCAGCGTTAAAAATCAATCTTATCGATCAAGTTCTTAATATAGAAAGAGTGAACACATAGAAATCTGTAAAGTCCACCCATCTGTAGATTCTGTGCCAACCCACCTTCCCTCCTAAGGCAAAACATGCATGTAATATTTTGGCCTCCATCCTGCAAGCACTCCTGAACGTGAAGAACTTAGTGCAGATCATTTTGCTTAGACCTTGGTGCTCTCTGTAGGAGCAGATGGCTTGTAGGAGCAGAGCCATGACTTTGGGGTTCAAATATTGCAAGCGAGGAAATACTGATTGAGCTGAACTGAGAGCGATTGCATTAATTCATGTTTTAAGTTAAATCACTTAAAGCTAGTTAGTGTGTTATAAAGCATCTGTGACAGGTAATGTGCTTAAAACTGCATGACTGGAAAGTGGTGTGTAATCACATGAACGGCAGCAGTTGAGATGAATGTGCGTGAGGGAAAGCATGGAGGTTGAGTGACTGAAAAATTAGGAAGATTTGCAGGAAATGTGATAGGCTCTGTAGCAAGAAAGCACCCTCATTTTTTTTTTATGTGACCAAAGAGCATCTGTAGTTGTTGATGCTGACCTGTGTGGCTACCAGCCTGCAGCAGAGATGGGATGGGTCTGGTGAGCATCAGTGATCAGGAGCAGACAGTGTAATGATTCTGGAGTAAATTTGCCCCCACTCCTTTTCCCCTTCTGAAGGGGGGTTCTGCTTCCTGGGTGGGGAAGTTGGACCTGCAGTGCCACATGTCAGGAGCCCCAGGAGAGCCTGGTGGCTGGAGATGCTGGGCTGCCTGGGACGGAGCTGTTGAAACATGTTGGGATTGCCCTGGAAAAAAAAGGAAGAAAATCAGTTTCCCTGGAAGGAGAAAAGAGGAAATAAGAACAGTCAAGAACACCCTTCTTTGTCTCCTTTTTCCCTGGATGTTTTATTGGCCTGAATGGTTTGCGGTTTGGGTTTTTTTTCTGAAAAAGAAACACCAAAATCCCATGCACGTCCTGTTGAGTGGAGCAAACTGCTGCTTCTTGACCTGATAAAGTGATTGTTTTCTGTTCTGGCAGTGACAAGTTGAGGGTGTGAGCATGACAAGATGCTGAACAGGAAGAGGGCATCAGGGGCAGGAAGCTTCAGGGCACAGAGCTCCCAACACTGCCTTAGAGAGTGAAGGAAGATGGTGACTGAAGCGGGCCAGGCCTCAGCGGGGCTGTTCTCTATGATTCTGCGTATTTAGTAACATTGTGGGTTATCTGAAGACTCTTCAGCCAACTCTTTCAGGATTTGGGGGATGAACGAGTGGAGGGGTGCTGCTTTTTAAAATGTTTAACCTCAAAATAAGTCGTTTAATTTTGGAAACCAGTTATTATTAAAACTCAAAAGCAAAAGCCACAACTTTGTAAACAGCTAAAATAAGTCTTACTGAACTAAAATAAGTCTTACTGGACTTATTTTATGGTTGCATTTATAAATTCTGCATATTCCTAATTGGTGCTAACAAGGTAGGAGCCTAGAGTGTATGTCCCATGAAGAGAGTTTGAGGAAGCTGACCTTGTTTGGTCTGGCAAAGAGGAGGCTAGCGAGAGATCCTGTAGCTGCCTGTAACTATTTGAAGGATGGCTCAAAGGATGAGAGAGCCAGAGTCGTCTTGTTTGTGGCAGATAATACAAAAAGAGGCGCATCACTCACGAGTTGCTGTTTGGGAGGTTCATGTTGGAGATGAGTACAAGATTCTTCCCCAGGAGGGTGGTGCAGCCTTGGGACAGGTCCCCAGAGAGGTGGGGGATCTCCATTCCTTGGTGTTTTCAAGCCTCAGCTAAGCAAAGACATTGCTTTAGTGTTGGCAAAGGTCTTGTTGCAATTAGGAGGTTGGAGACCTCTGGAGCCCCCTTCAACCAAATCTAAATATAATTTAATCCAGCTTTTGCTTGGAAAAATTTACGGAGGTTGGAATAATCAATAGGCAGCTTATAACTGCTTTGTTTTTTCCCTGCTGTGGTTCAGTGTTAATTAGTCTCTGGACAGGCCTACTCAATCCTGTAGCTTAAAACATCAATAGGTACATATGCTTTGTAAACTACTTGTAAATGTTTTTACAACATGTCATGATATAAATTGTCAGGGAAGACAAGAGGCCTCCAGAGGTATCTTCCAACCTAAATTACACTGTGCCTCTGGGATTCTACCTTATTATTTTAGTATAAATGTACTAACAGACAAAACGTAAATTCTACAGTTGGTCCAAGACGAATTTTAAAATTCAGCAGTGTTTTTCCAAACGTTTTATATAACCCTGTAGGCTTTTATGCAGCTGCAAGTGAAATACAAGTCTGTGTGACCCCTCTGAGGTAAAGGGTTTCCTGTGCATTTGTGGCAACTCTCTTCACCTGGATTTGCAGACAGGAAACTGCTGTGGGGCTGGACCTTGGCAGATGATGGAAAGGGCCTAGGGAAGGTCCTCCCATAGCAGCAACATCTCCAAGGGGTGTCTTGCTGCACAGGGTCGCTTCCTTCTGTTCCAGTACAAAGATAGAGAGGTAAGGGAGGGCTGTGGGTCCTTGTGTGAGCACAGGCTGTGAGACTCATCCCTGCGGAGGGAGGAACCCAGTTGGCTCTAACATGCACTGAACGGACGTGGAGGAACTGTGCCTCTCCTGCCCTGTCATCCCAGACTGGGGATGCTGAAGCTGTGGGGAATCAAGTGGGCAGGATGAAAGGTGCTGCAGAGAGTTGTGTGTGTAGAGGCAGAGGCTGGGAGGGAGCTCTTCCATGCATTGGCCTTCTCGCTTTCCGCTGCATTGCTAGTTCATCTGATTGTCTTTTGCCAGAAGACCCATTGCTCTCTTGCTTCCTCCCCTTGCTTCACTGCAGACCACAGTCGCCGCTCCATACTGCTGTGCTGGGAGGGAATCAGCTGTAACTTTGCCTCTCTTTTTAATGTTTATTTCCTCTCTTTTTTCCTCCGCTTATCCTTGCTGTGGCTTTTCTCTGGGGCTGGGTACAGATGGATCTTTGCGATACTGACAGCGATGAGGAGATTCTGGAGAGGATACTAGAGCTCCCGCTTCAGAAGAACCACAGCAAGAAATTGTTTAGCATCCCTGAAGTGACTGAGGATGAGGATGAAGATGAGGATGAGAAGTGTATTATGGAGGAAAAGGCAGACCCTCAAGACTCCTTGGAAAAGCTTACCTACTATTCAGGAAGGACAGAGAAGCCGCTCAACATCAAGGAGCCATTTCTAAAGGCAGATGGGAGTAATACCTCCACAGATCTGTCTGCTCAGACTCCGTGGGAGGAGCATGGTGTTAAGGAGAGCAGAGGGGATGCTGACCATGCAAACCCTGCCTTTGTCCAGCTGGCCTGGAGTCAAAAGAAGGCAAACTGGAACTGGGGCTATCAGGAGAATGATCAGAAGTCTGGGACTGGGGCAAGTCCCACTTGGAGCAAGAAGAAGGGAAATAATTATCGAGAGAAGATCCGGAGTCGGCCTGAGATGGGTAGGAAGAGACAGAATAATTTGACAGAGCACTGCAGTCGTCTGCTGGGCAACTGCAGTCAGATGGGAGGCGGGTTATACAGAGCTCCTAGCCTCAGGGAAGAGCTGAACATTGTAAGCAGTGCTGGTGGTAAGGAGGGCTTTGATGTGTACAGTCGTGCCAGACAAGGAACCTTACGAAAAAAACACATGAAAACAGTGGTTTCAGGGTTTGCAGAACCTGCTGTATCGGCAACACACTGCTACAGCCCCAGGAGCCTGGAGATAGATATTGAATATGACTCTGAAGATGATCAGGATTCGACCTGTGCATCCCCCCCTGAGAGCAGGCTGTGGCCAGAAAGGTCCCAGAGCTGTCAGGGGGACTGGAGTGATTGCTCCAGTCAGTCTGAGGTTGCCCACACAGATAGCAGAAGGGACCTGACCCAACTGGAGACGATGGAAGAGCAGGGTATGGAGTGGGCTGGGTCTCCGAGCCAGCGCCTGCGATTCTTCTGCCAGGAGAAGGAAGCACTGAGATGTGAGAGCAGATCTGAGGAGCAGGGCTGGGAGCTGGACTGTAAGTCACCTGGCTGGAGAAGGAGGCTTGAACATCCTTCGAAGGGGATACGTAGCACCTCCTTGCACAAAAGGGTTGGGTGACTTTTCCTATTCTGGCTTTGAAGCAGCTTGCAGTGGCGTTAGCTTCCCTCTGCTTCCCTGGCCTGCCTGTATCTTGCTTTGTTCGGTGTTGTCCAGAGAAAGGACCCTCCTCTAGGATTGTCTGGAAGAATATCTGAGAGATTATGTAGTTTTGTGCTGCTCCGTGGCTTTTTTTGGTTTTTTTTTTTTGTATTAGCTGCTTCTGCTTTTCCTGCTAACTGACTGTGTCACTGATGCAGTATTCCTTTTCACACTGGGTTTTCCTCCCCGTGGCAGGAGGCTGTGGGACCCAAATGAAAATCCCTGGTGAAATAAGCTGATTTGTGAAAGCTTTGTGTAGATGATGACTGTAATGTCATTGCCTCCCCTTGAAATACCCTTTCCTGCGTCCTCACGCTCACCAAAGGAATTGCCACTGGTGCCTGGCAGGGTGCCTGCCCGTACTTCGTTCTGTTTTCCAACTCCCTTGGTATTTTCAGCTCCAGAGTGTCCCTGAAGAGGAATGTTGCATTTGGATGCGCTGCTCTTTGTGGAGTGCGTTCGGGCTGAGTGCTGTCCACGCGAGCCGGAAGGCGGAGGCTGCTACTAACTCTCTGGTGGTTCCTGTTGCAGGCGTCCAGTCATAAAGATCCTAGGGGCCAGGAGCTGCCTGGCGCAGCTGCCTGGCAGGCTCCCAGCAGAAGACGGAACAAGAGCGTAAGAAGCAGCCAAACACAGAAACCTTTGCTCTCTAGTCCAGGTGAGCGGGCAAGGGGGAGAGAGTTGGGCAGCAGGAGAGGGAGGCTATTGGAAGCGGCAGGGGAGAGGCTAGCAGGTGGTATTTGAGCTGTGCAGGGCTACGGCAGGGGAGTGGTGCTGACATTACCTCTGGTGTGTCCCCTGTCTGCGCACAGGTCCTCCAAGGAGCTCTGCTTCAGACACCTCTGTTAAAGATGATGGCATTAGAATATTTGTGGCTCTCTTTGACTACGACCCCATTTCTATGTCTCCTAACCCTGATGCAGCAGAAGAGGAGCTCCCATTTAAGGAGGGACAGATCCTGAAAGTAAGAGCACACCTTAGTGAACATCTCCTCTGTATGGATCCATCTGATGTTCCAGGGACAGCATAAACCTTGGGAGGCAGAGCCTCCTTAATCTTGGGAGTTTCCTTAGCTTCCCCTTCTCCTTTCTCAGTGCGTCTCAGTCCCTGTAGCATGAACAGTCTCTGGCCTGTCTTTTCCCTTGCAGGTGTGTGGAGACAAGGATGCTGATGGCTTTTACAGGGGTGAATGTGCAGGAAGGGAGGGGTACATTCCCTGCAACATGGTATCAGAAGTTCAGGTGGAGAATAATGAAATCAAGAAACAGCTCCTAAAGCAAGGGTTCCTGCCTGCCGACACACCAATGGAGAGCGTAGGTACTGTATCTCCTTTATGTGTGTGCTGTGTTGTTGTCGGCATGTTTCTTTGCTGAAATGTGGAAAGCTCAGTCGTGCTGTCAAGCTGTGTGGCCAGTGCAGCCCACCAAAATGATCTCTAGGGCTGGTCCCCAGGATCTGAGGGCTTGTTCAGTGGCTGTTGCAGTAGCAAGCAGGGAGGTCGTGACGGATGAGGGAGGAAGGTGTTCTGAGGTCTCGGTTCATACCTGACCCTGATGCAGCACAGTGCTGCCCAAGGCTGCATTTACAGCTGCTGGAGCTCCTCCTGTGCTTGTGGTGTCGTGTCTGCGAGCTCGGCACAGAGTGTGATGGAGGCTGATCCTCACTGGAGAAGGGGAAGCAAGTTTGAAGAGCAGCTGAAGGATGTGAACAAGAGGTTTTCATGTCTGTGTTCTCTCCTTTGTTTTCTATGTTTGAACCCATAGGGGTGACCCTGCTCTTGGATGAGAGAATCTGTGACTTGGGAATGAAGGAAGATGGGGAGAAACTCGTGGGGAAGGGGAAGGAAGGGTGTGAGGCAGCAGTGTGCAAGGAGCAGACCTGGTCCTTGTGTGACTCCTTACTCACTCCCTGAAGTACATGGTTTGGTGCTTTATATACTACAGAGACTTTCTGAGTACACAAGTGTGAAGAAACAGGAGAGGGGAGAGGAACCTTCCCTGGCACATGCAGCCGTTGCAGCTTGGGCTGAGTTAGGCTGCGGTTCAGTGGCTGTGAGCTGCCCCAAGGCATACAACATACTGGTGTCCCACTGCCTGTCCCTTATCCCACTGTCTCTCATCCTGCTCCTCTTGGTGTACTCTCTGCTACCAGTGGCAATTGTGTGCCCTGCTCCACTTGTTAAAGCAAGAGGACATTCTTGTTTTGGGTCGCCACTGTTTCCCCACCAATTCAGCAGGGTAGGACAGCACAAGCATGGGTCTGATGGCAAAGGTAAGCCCTGTTATTGACTGAGCTGTTCCACTGCCTCTCACTGGCAGTGGAGGAAAAACAGGGGGGGGAAAAAAAAAGAAAAAAGATAAAGGATCAAACTTGTTCCGTTTCTCTGCAGCAAGACCCAATGTCCAGCCCTAGAGGCTAAGGGGCTGACAGTGCCCAGCTCCTAAATGCAGGTGCTCTGGAAGGTTGATCCTGACCTGATCCCCACAGGGGTTGAAGGAGGCTGTTCCTTTTGCTGTGTGATTTTTGGTAGGTTTTGTGTCCTTTGGCCTCTCTCATGTCTAGGGAGATGAGAGATTTGAGTAAGGCTTTTTTCACACTTGGGACATTCTTAATGTTTCTCCTGCCTGTGTTCTCTGGTGCCCAGAGATGGCTAGGATGCCTGTGGGGGCCTCTGTCCCTGTGTGGGTATACAGGGCGCTCTGTCCCCTGCCCTGCTACATACTCTCAGAAGAATGAAGGAATTTAATAGCTCTGAGACTGCATGAAACTTAGTGGGTTTGAAAGTTTTCAGGAGTGCAGTAGTAGTGAAAAGGACACACCTTATGCATGCGGGCAGAGAATAAACCTTGTTGCCTTGAGCAGCCGGGCTGTATGTACTTCTGTTTCCTACTGCCATAAACCCATATTACAGCCTTGTAACTAAGAAAATGCCTTGGAGGGGTTGGTCCGGGAACTCCTTCGGCAGGCTCACCTGGGGACCTCCCAAGGTCCATTCCCACCTGAGTGAGTTGGTGGGGTTCACCTCACCTGGTGTTTTTCAGGTGTTAATGGTACCAGGTTTTATTTTATCCTTACGGTGGTCCTTCTGAAAGATAAAATGCAGCCAAGCAGTGAGGTTTGTCTGATGTATACTGTGGTATAAATACAATGTGGATTTCTGTGGGTACTTGGGATGTGGATCATGCCTCATCTGAGTCCACATGCAAGAAATGGAGGTTTGGGCTTGGCCTGTAGGAATCATGGTGTCTGCTTCCCAGGGGAAGCACGTCATGCTACTCTGTTGCTTGTTCACTCCTCAAGATGTTTTTCACTTTCCATTCACTGTCTGTTTCTCTTGTCTATTTATTTGCTTTTTTTTTTATTTTTATTAAGGAAATGGCACATTTTCTCCACCTCCACGCCGCCAAACCGTCCCTCCTCCAAAACCCAGACGCTCCAAGAAAGGTCTGTGTTGCCCACTGCTTCCTCTTTGATTTTTGCAATAGGATTACAGACTGCATTGAATTTTTACTACTTGCTTACAGGACCTTCAGGTGTTTGTCTCTGTACGACTGCTAGGAAGCGGAAAGAGAGCTCATCCATGTGCTGGTGTTAAGTTTTTAACAACAGTGTTGTCTTTTATAGTTTTGGAGCTTGACCTCTGCTTCCTGTTACGTCCCTGAGTCAGGGTTACTGGCATAGACTTTGAGTTGCATGAACAATTTGCTTCTGTTGTTTGCTGCCTTGGTCTTTGTTCTTTTTACTGTTGTTTGTCAGTTGTCGTGGGGTCACTGTTGAAAGGTGAACTCTCCACTGATGAGCCATTTTCTTCCTTCAGCAGGGTTGGATAAACAGGAGAAGTACAAGTCTCATCCAGGTGAGAATCACTCTTTCGTACTATGAGAAGAGGGTTGGTACTTTTGCATTATCGTCATGCAGACATGTTTTGTGGTCAAGGGCCAGTGCAAGACCCTGTCGTGCTCCTTCAGAGCACTGTAAGAAAATGGTCATTCTCAGGAAAGCAGAGTTTCAGTTCTTTATTTAATAGTGAGGGCAGTGGTCTTTGACTAAGGTGTTTGAAGGTGGAGGGCATGTATAGTTGTGCTCTGGAGGAGCAGGGAAATCTACTCATCTGATGCCACGGTCCTTAAAATCCAAGATGCCTTGAGGGAGTGCTCGCTCTGCTTAGGTGCACAATCATCTGTTGATGTCCAGAGAGGCCAAGTCTGCAAACCCCTTGCTAGCCCATCTGGTGTCGACCTGCAGCAGCAATTAAATCCGTAAGATGAAGGACTGCACTATGTGTGTTTTCAGTAACACCAGACTTTGCTTTTGTAGACACAGAGCAGGTCTGTAAGTCATGGGGCTGAGCAGGCAGGTTCTTATGAAAATGCAGCGTGTTCCCTGGACGATGAGGCTTGCCCTTCCCTTTGTGCTGAGCTCTGTGCTGCTGGGGCTGGGCTGCCGGGTGATGCTTTCCAGGGCTCTTGCTGTTCCCCTGGCACTTGGAGGTAAATTTTGCAGCTCAACAGCAGAGCATTGCATGGAGGGGGGAGAAATGTCCATCTGAGACACTGTGAAGAGACTGCTGTCCTCTGTGTGTGTGTATATATATGTGTGTGTATAAATAGAAAACGTAAAATAAAACATTCCTGTGTATATATAGACAGGACACCAGGATGCTGGAATGGGGAGATGTCCCCAGTTCTGTGCTTGTAAGGTGACACAGGAGATCAGAAAACTGCTTTACCTGGGGCCTCTAAGATCTCTCTCCTATTCAGTTTCCACTGGGTTTCCCCCTGTTGTTTTACTTTCTCAGTCTGTTCCAAGAACAGTGAAGAAATTTCTGTGATTTGGGATTTTGCCTTAGAACTTCCACCTCAGGGTATTTTGCTTTATTTTTGTCCTGCAGGCCAGAAGCATCAGGAATTTGAAGCTGAACTGCTGACTCCTCGAAGTATGGTGGCTGTCTTCGACTATAACCCTAAGGAGAGCTCTCCAAATGCAGACGTAGAGGTAACAACCACCTCCTCACTCCCCTTACAGGCTTCTTTTTCCTCTCTCTTTTTTCTTGTCTCCCAAGACACTTAGCACTTTGGTCAAAACCAAGACTATTATGGCTTGGCAATATAACTGCTAAAAGGGGTTGGCTGAAGTCATAAAATGTAGAATTTGCTGATGTGTTCTCTCATGCATTCTCTGATGACAGTGTTCAGTTATCTGTGAAGAATATGAAGCAGCGTACCCCTCATGACTTTCAGTATGTGTCTCAGGGAAACTGTGTGAGCGTCTCACGGCCTTGTAGCATCCTCTAGTGCTTAGACAGGATTTAGCAGTTCTGGGGCAGGAGGAAGCAGCCCCTGCTGTTAGCAACTCATCCAGGGCACCCATCTGCTTAAGAGTTTGAATGGACTCCTGATACTTCAGGTGAGCATGTCTTGGAGCATGGAGCACGTCTTTTGTGTTAACTACCTGTGCAGGTCTTTGTTCAAGCAAGAAGACTTGGTTCCAATTTAATGGACCAGTCCTCTTACAGTATTTTTGTGGATAAGTCTGTTTCAGATGAGAAGAATGCAATGCAGAATTCTTTCTGCAAAAAAACTTTCTAAATTAGAACACGCTCTGTTCTCTATTCCTCCATAGCAGTGTTAGTCTACTCTGAGCAAACATAAGTATGGGGCTGGGATTCAGATTCTTTCCATGCATCCAGAAAGGCATGTATGGCCAAGAGGTGGCACAGTTCAGGTAAGGTTTGCCTCCCAAACTGAGTGTCTCGTGAGCAAGACAGCCTGCTTCCAAGGACAGTGTTTTATGGATGGTGGATTATTCTGGGAGAGATACAATGACTGTGTGTATCAACCAGCATCTGTGTAGGTATTCATACATCTGGCCAAAGAACACTTCTGAGCCCTCGTCAACAAGATGACTATTTTTTTTCAGTGATTTGGGTCTTCCTAGAACCTTCCCTGTGAACAGAGCTCAAATTATTAAAACAGGCTGGTGCAGTTCTGTTGCGTTGTTGGAGATGCTCGCTGTTCACGCTCCCAGAAAATTTGGTCACCTGTTTTGCTAGAAAACAGCAGCTGTTTGTGAACTTGCACCAAGACACAGCAGGATCAGCTGTGCTGTTCTGTGCGTCTGAGGGAAGTTCCCTACAAGTGTCTTTCTGCTATGACAAAGTAAATCACAGCCAACAGGAGGAACCTGCAGCCTCCAGAGATAAACTGAG